ATCCATCTTATTCATTTTGTCAATGCAAGGTAGATGTTTAATATATGCGAATTTGCCAATTGTACTATTTTATGGCTGATGTGTTTTAATGAATAAGATAATAAACCACAAACTACGATCGTTTTAAGGTAGCCTAAGGGGAAATCCATATGCGTGTTAAAGGAGGGTAAAACATCCTTATTCATTTTGTTAATAAAAGTTCAAAGATCAATATAGGTGAATTTGTCATTGTACTATTTATGTATATGTAGCCTATAGACTGTTTTTGTTCTTTAATAATAATAATGATCCATACGCATTCGTTTAAAGTAAGGGGAAAATCCCAAAAAGTTTTATGTATTTGTGTTACAATGCAGGTACATCAGTCTTATTCGTTCTGTTCATAAAAGTTTTATGATTCATATCAGGATTCGTACAGAAACTGCTAAATGAAATTCCAGGACTTTCAAGCACTACTTTTTTGGTTTTCAAGGACTAAAATCAGAGATCACAATATTGTTATTATCTTTAAAATTCTAATAAACGAATAAAACAAAATGGTACAAATAACGTGCAGCACATGCAAAGCATGCAATGACTGTGGCAAATTTAACATTTGAAAGGATACTATGGCAAAGTTATAAATTTCCTCATTCAAAGTGATTTTTTGAACATATGATTAACCTGAAGAGTAAAAGTTTCATCATACACTAGGAAAATTGATGAGACAAAATACAGATACTTGGTTCACTAGAACGAGACAATGTTTTAATACTATTTTTAAGAAATTTTCAATAACATAATATTAGACTTCTAATCACAAAAAGCAAAATGCTGTGCTCCGCTAAAAAATGTAGTTGTATTTTAAAATATTTCAACTAATCTAGAGCCGTAACTAACAATTATTTTGGTAATCAAGTAATCTATTGATTATTTTGACAGTTGAGTAATCTGATAGGTCTATTTTTATTACAAAAATATATATATAAGTGAAAAACAGGCTTTAGTATGCCTACATTTATATATATTAAAGTAACGATGAGACAATAATAATTGGTTCAAATAAAGTATCAAAACCAAGTAATCACATGGTTTTATTGAACAACACTGTTAAAATACATAAAGTAATATGCCTATACATAATATGAAGATAACCTACTTAAGTAGATTATGTATTATAACAAATACCTGCAGAGGGCGCCAACGGCCTGGTGATGTTTCACTTTACAGTGTGATTCAACGACGTTTAAATCCATTTAATTTTAATATTTGGTCACATGCAAACTCAGAGTGAGGGTTTAAACTTTTATTGTGAAATCGCTATTTACAACAAATCACATATAGAAATATGTTGACGTATTCTGCTGTGTTGGCTTAGGTTTCTAAATTATTAACGTTATAAATCTAGTGAGATAACGCACACTGTTTTCCCAGATGAATGTTAATCATCCCAAACTCACAGCATATGCAGAGGAAGAGTTTGTGGACCGAGTGGCTGAGATGGAGACGTGCTCCACGCTTGTAAATAGGGGTGTTACGATTCACTCGTTTTCTCGATGCATCAATTACAAAGCCTGACGATGTATATGCATCGATCTTGAAACATGGATTTTTGAATCGTAAATCGTTGATTTCGGACAGTAATCGATTTAAAACGCTAAGAATCAAATGAATCGCGATTTCTATAGCGATTCAATGTTTTCAATATACTGTATATACCCATTAAATTACTACAAGCCCATATCAATGGAGACCTTGAACAATGGCACTCGGCCATGCCTTCAACATTACCTGAGCAGTCAAAGGCTGCACATTTACTGCATGGACGAAGCAAAAACAATGCAAGTGTCTAAAGCATACGCACAGTTCTATTGAATGATAAATGAATTTTAACAATGTTGTTAAACCGAATGTACGAAGGAAAGTTAAAATAAGCACAGCATTAACAACAACCTTGAAATAAGAGCGCGAGGTTTATCTGTCAATCAGATGCATGAAAGTTGCATTCATTGCTATAGGAAACAGACGTTGGGCACGTTTTCTTTCAGAATCATCATTCGCCGATGAAGAGAAAAAGTTAAATGTTAGCGTTTTATTTTAGGAAAATTAGATAAAGTTTTCGCACTGAAAGAGAAGTGATCTCGCGCTAATAGAACTTAAGAGGATTTCGTGCCAGGAAATCCCTAATATGGACAAAGGCTTCTATCGCTGCTGCTAAGCTAAATAAAAAGCAGAATGAACTGATGAAACGTTAAGACAATAAATAAATAAAGTTTATGAATGATGCAGTGCTAACTGACATCATTACAGTTCAGAAACTATAAATTATATGTTCTACTTCATTCTGTGCAGAAAATGGAAATAATTGTTTGTAGTATATAAACCAATCATAAAATTGCCATTAGGAAAAATTATAGATTACAAATGATTGCTTATTGTCCAGCAGTATATTTGATTTCTTATAGCCAATTCAAAGTAAGAAGCAAAAATCTCTGGTTTCACTGTCTACATGATAACACTGAAAATCTTCACCCTGGCAGGAGTTTTCAAAAATGTTCGGTTTCAGTGACCTGGTGCTGCGTTTGCGTGTGAACAAACGGCTAAACCGCATAGAAAAAGCTAAAATAACCGCGTTCATGTGGACAGGGCCTCAGACTTTATGTGCGTTCCCAAATGAAACCCAAAAAGCGCATGGAATAAAAGACCGAACAATTTAGTGCAAGCACTATCAAAGGTTTTACCACAAACTCAACTTTATACTGATATCGCGAGACAGCTTTTCACCTCAAGGAGTAATATCGCGAGATCTCATGCGGTGCTGAAAGCCAGGCGAAATGTCTCTATTTATATCAGACACACTGCATCGTTAATTTTGTGAGAAAAGATTGTTTTTATTGAAAACAAAAATTAACACTAATTTCATATATACTGCCCTTTAAAGGGGTCATATGATGCGATTTGAATTTTTCCTTTCTCTTTGGAGTGTTACAAGCTCTTGGTGCATAAAGAAGATCTGTAAAGTTGCAAAGACTAACTGCACCCCCAGCACCCCCATTTTTTTTGCGGGCTACACTCCAGGGGGTGCTGCAGCACCCTCAGCAACCCTACTTCCTGCAGTAATGTCTTTAGCATTATTTTCCTTTTTAGAATAAATAAATAAGGTTCACTGATTAAAGCTGTACATGTTCGGTTTCATCAACTAGCAAAAAATGACAACATACTCAGGTGTTACTCATCATCTATCATTGTTAGGAGTGAAGCAGTGTAGAGTAGCGCTTGTTGTTTGTAGTTTCTCCGATCACAAATGCAGACATGGTTTTATGTTTATGCGGCGCGATGCAACACGTAAAAATACAGTATAAGTCATTATAATTAGTAATTATGTCCCCACTGGATGCAACAAATGCCTCGTTTATAATGGGTTTGAATGTTTTTGTCTCGTCGCTCCGGCCGGTGTTATGACAAATAATGCTACCTACCAGATTATAGGCTACTTTTTTCAATGAATTTTAATTAATATACAAATTAATAAAATTTATTTTATTTATTTTTTGTTACAAATTTTTAATTATTTTTTATCACTGCACCCCCATTTTTTTTGCGGGCTACACTCCAGGGGGTGCTGCAGCACCCTCAGCAACCCTACTTCCTGCAGTAATGTCTTTAGCATTATTTTCCTTTTTAGAATAAATAAATAAGGTTCACTGATTAAAGCTGTACATGTTCGGTTTCATCAACTAGCAAAAAATGAAAACATACTCAGGTGTTACTCATCATCTATCATTGTTAGGAGTGAATGATGTTCAGTTTCTAAATATAAGATGCTTTAAGCAGTTTATTAGAAACACTTAAACCGTAGAAGTATCCTTCACAGGGTATTAAAAAGTACACATAAATTTGATTATATTAGTTAAGTTAAAAGTTTTGAAAACAAAATACCTGTAATATCCAGTTACGGCTGTAGGAAACTCCGAAGTGAAGATCAGAGACTGGAGTGACTCTTCATCAGGTTCTTGATTGAGATGGTACTGTGTGTCCGTGGTTTTGTCTCTCCTTCAGAGCAAGCGTCAGGTACAGGTGTGGAGTGTTACCTGTGATTGGCGTTTGGGTTTAAAAGACGGAGATTCAGAGAGCAGTGGTGACCTGGACTGGGCTGCCGTTCATCTTCCCTCTCCAGCCCTGGATTGTTTTCTTTTGTTTCTTTCTTTATACTAATACTTAACTTTTTGTATTATTTGATTTATTCTTGATTAAATGTTTATTTGTTAAACTTAAGTCTTCTGTGTGGCCTCCCCTTTTGGTAATGTTACTTCATCCAGAGCCAGGTGGTTGTAACAGTATTTTGGAGCATGTATGTATTATGTATTGATTAATTGTTTTATATTTTTAGAGTGACAATTTTACCATCAGTCCAGGGACTGCAGATCCAAAATAGCCTTCTGGCTAATTCTGGCACATTTTTACATTTATGTATAATTGATGTGCATGGTCCCTGTCAAATAAACCTGAAATAAAAAATGAACATGCAAATGTGATACTTCATTATGAAAATATTCAAGTACTTCAAGTAAATATATTCGGTGAAAGAGGTTCAGGTGACAAAAAACTGGTGAATCTGTGCATTTTAATGTTTTGAAATAGTCAAATAATGACTGATCTCTGTGTGAAGGTCCAGAAAACCAGAAGACTTTCTGACTGTATATACTGTATGTTTAAATCACATTTTTGCTACATTTAAAATCTCTTTGTCTGACGATGTTACAAATGTTAATATTAATCTATTATTTTTCTCTCTCCCTGTCCATTGAATGTGTCAGTGTATTAAGGGCGCACAGTAGCAGTTGCAGTTAGATTGGAGTTACCGAAACATCTAAAACATCCACACTTTGGACATTTCTGCCATTATCCATGTACCTATTTAAAGTGTGCTATATAATTTTACAGTTTGTTGTAGGAAGACACTATTAGATTTATTGGCCTACCATTCGCAATCCTAGAACTGAGGTCTAAAGGTCTCTGCACACCGAGTCTGAATTTTTCGTATGCGTTTTTTCGTAATTGAAATCCTAAAAATTCGTCATGCACAGAAACCTTGCACACTAAGTCCGATGCGTATTAATTAATCCGTTGCGAAAAAATTCGCAAAACAGCACTAAATGGAGTCGTCAAGCAGTGAGGATGATTTTGTTGTCTTCTCGCTTCTTGAAAAAAGAAATGAAATATTGGGTCCATCCAATCCTGAAATATAGAGAGTTCTCCCTCCTTATTAAGGAGCAGCGGGATTATCCCGGGCGATTCAAAGTTTACTTCAGGATATCAGAGGCTCAGTTTGATGCTTTTGCTAGCGATACTAGAGCCACATATTAAAAAGAAGACCACCAATTTCTGTGAACTCAGTGTGCAAGGATCTATATACAGTGATTTGTGCTGCGAGACGAAGTGGATGAACTTGACAATCGCCATTCTGGATTTTGGCGTTCGCTTGTACGGTGGCTCTGAACGGTCAAAACTCCTCTCAAAATGCTTGCGCTACGGATGCGAAAAATGAAAAAAATCGAACCCGATCTGAATTTTTTTATGACGGACGAATATTTCGGAGGCAGTGTGTAAACATGATTGACATAACGTGAGGTCGTATTTATTTTTTAACGTGCGAAAATATTGGACGAAATTTTCGGACTCTGTGTGCAATGACCTTAACAGTTACCTGTAATCAGTCTTTGTTGACCATGACTGGTTCTTATTATATTCGAGTTTACATTTCTCAGGATACAGACGTTACTAAATTATTAAGTTTGATATTTTCAGAGTAGTACTGAATCTCATTTTTGAACTGTGTATTCTCCAGGCTGCAGATGAAGCCCTCCTCCCAGGATGCATTGAGGAGACAATGCCCATGATAGACCAGGGGACATCAGGATCGTCAATGAGGGCCAGATAATCTTACAGTTACTTGGACAACTAGGCATTATCTACTGCGAAATTCAACTGCCCATCTAACTGAAAGGGATCATTCACCCAAAAATGAAAATTCTGGTATCATTTACTCACTTTAAGTATTCCTGTGAGGAGTATAATGGTGGAGCTTTAAAATCAGCACACTTTCAAAGGAAGTCCTTCTTAAAAAATGTAGAAGTTTATTTTTTATTACATTAGTTATGCTGTTATTGTTCTTATTGTGTAACATTGTTTTACGTTAAGCAAGTTTTTTGGGGGGCGTGGGTTGTGGAGGAATGAAGTGTTAGATTTTTAGTTTTGGATTTTGCTTTTATTGGGTTATATTATATTTTAACAGATGCATTTCAAACAAATGAGCTATGTCTGTAACATGCTTCGCTGTATATTTGTAATCTGTATGGATTGTTGTGTACTATTGAAAAAATACAGTATTTTTTTCCAAGAAATGTTTTTGCTTATTGCCTTAAAAATCTACAAATTTAAAGGTTAAAGGGGTCATATGATGTTGCTAAAAATAACATTACTTTGTGTATTTGGTGTAATGAAATGTTTATGCGGTTTAAAGTTCAAAACACATTATTTTCCACATACTGTACATTATTGTTTCTCCTCTATGCCCCGCCTTCTGAAACGCGTCGATTTTTACAAAGCCGATCTGGCGATCCACAGCACTAAGTTGAAGTATTCCCTCAGCGACCAGCACGGATCAGCACCAGGCATGACGAAGCGGATATCGTCCTCTTTTGGAAGGCCAAACAAAGTAGTTTAGCTTTCACAACGAAACAGCTCTTCACGACATGGCGGCGGCGGCAGCAACAAAACTACAGCGAGAATCAAAGTTACGCCTTCTTTCTTTGCGTGAACATTTGGGCGGCGTTGTGCAAATCTTCCCACATAGTGAGGTAGATATGTGGGGGCGTGTTAGAACGAGCCGTTTTAGGTAGGCGTGGCTGACTCTGAACTTTTATAAAGAATATCTCTTTGGATTTGAGACTTTAGTGTTTGCAACTTTACAGATCTTCTTTATGCACCAAGAGCTTGTAACACTCCAAAGAGCATCATATGACCCCAAGCTAAACGCTTTTATTTATTTAAAAAAGTAGTAATTATAGTTTACCAAAGCTTTTTTATTCTGTTATTAATTTTATCTGGATTTATTGTACATTTTATCATAGTTTTACTTAATTTATTGAAACTACTGCATATAGTGGATAAAGCTTTCATTTAAGCAAAAATCATGTTAAATCAACAGGAGGTAACGTGGCATAAAAACATCATTAAAAATCATGTTCATTTGACAAACACAAGTTAGGTAACATAAACAGATAAATTATGTTAAGAGAACATAAAAAAAAACAAATATGTACATCGGTTGCACATATTTTTATGTTAATCCAACAGATTTTTTTTTTCAGTGTAGTTACAATATATTTGATTATAAAATATGACATTAATCACAGCATTTAATGTCAGCAGCTCATTTCAGTCTTGTGAGGAATTGATTTTATTCATGATACAAACGTCAATTAAAATCTGATCTCAAGTTGATTTGTCATCGTGTTTCATTATTTCTGTACAAAAAGAGAAATGAATTACATATTCTTCAAGAATCATGTTTGTGACTTTTACATTTGGACAGTATTAAAACAAATGATTGACGAGACACGACAAATAAAACACAAAGGTAGACACACACAGACACAAATCTTACTGTCTATATGAGGATTTCTGACACATTTATTCTGTTATTTGAGTGACAGAAGTTGAGCTGCAGTATTAATGTCATGAAGAGACACTGTAACATCTCACTGTTACTGATTTATCATGCAGCTCAAAGCATTATGGGTAGAATCTCTCATCAATCTATTCTGATTCATCAACACAGTTTCACTGATGATTTATTATCAATAGTAAACCCAGGATAGAGCGGCTGAGTGAATGTGGTCTGGACTGTGTGGATGAGGCTCATTGTGTAAGAGATGCTGTAGAAGGACAGAATTCCTGCACTGTGATCCACATACACTCCTATTCTACTGCTGATGGGTTTTACAGGGAGAACAGTCTGTATGTTATTGTGTCTGAATGAGTAACTGGAGTGAGAGCAGATCAAACTCCAGGACTGATCATTAAATCCAAACACGCACTCAAAACCCTTCCTGCTGATGCTCTTATATGATACTGATATACGCACACCATCATCACCAATCCACTCAATCTCCCAGTAACAGCGTCCACTTACACTCTCTCTACACAACACCTGAAGATACACATTAAATCTGTCTGGATGATCAGGATATGGCAGTTCCTGAAACACATGTGTCACCTCTCTGTTCTCCTCAGACAGGATGAGAAGAGTGTTTGCTGTGTTTGGATCCAATGTGAGAAAACAGGCATCTGAACACAAGAACAGAGACATTAATAACACAACAACAATCACTACAGCTGCGTGTGTGTGTGTGTGTGTGTACTGTATAATGACATGGGTACTACAACGTAAACATGGTTTATGAGGACACTTCCTCCAGTATAAAAACCATTACGCCTATGGAGAGCCCCCGTAAACCACAAATGCAAGTGTGTGTGTGTGTGTGTGTATGTTTGTAGACATACATTTCTCTAGTCCTGCTGTAATCCTGGATTCTCCTCCATGATCCACACTAGAAAACACACACAGACATATTCAGTCAGTAAACAAAAGGCTATGCAATTGCCAAGGTACACGGGGTGATTGCTAGGGAGTTGCTATGTGGATGCTAAGGTACTTAAGGTGGTTTCTATGCCATTGTTATAATACCTGAGGTGGTTGCTAGGCTGTTGCTATGCAGTTGCTAAGGCACTTGGGGTGGTTGCTAGGCTGTTGCTATGTAGTCGCCAGGGTACTTGGGTGGTTGCAATGATGTTGATAAAATGTTCTGGGTGGTTGCTATGCAGTTGCTAAGGTGCTTGGGGTGGTTGCTAGACTGTTGCTATGTGGTTGCTAGGCTGTTGCTATGTAGTTGCCAGGGTACTTGGGTGATTGCAATAATGTTGATAACATGTTCTGGGTGGTTGCTATGCAGTTGCTATATGGTAGGTCGAAAAACTCCCATCTCATTCAACTTCACAATCGTCCTACATCGCTGTTTTACCTTTTTTTGTAAAGGGCGTTTGACCTTCTTTGCACGTTCACTTTGTAAACACTGGGTCGGTACTTCTGCAGCGATGTAGGACGATTTTGGAAGTTGGAGGAGAAAATGAGATGGGAGTTTTTCGACCTAGCTTAACCGTCTTGAACCGGAGTGCACAGAGTATGCATGCGCATCGCAGAGCTAGACAAGACAAGCATTTGAGGTTAATAAAAAATATATACATTTTTATTATTTTTTTAGAAAATGACCAATCTTTTCACTAGACAAGACCCTTATTCCTCAGCTGGGATCGTGTAGAGCCCTTTGAAGCTGCATTGAAACTGCATTTTTTTACCTTCAATCCGTTGAGCACCATTGAAGTCCACTATATGGAGAAAAAATCCTGGAATGTTTTCCTCAAAAAACTTAATTTCTTTCCGACCCAAGATCTTGGATGACATGGTGGTGAGTAAATTATCAGGAAATTTTTATTCTGGAAGTGAATCCAGGGCTGCCAACTCATGCATTCAGTGTGAGACTCGCGCAGTTGACACTTTTCTCACCCTCTCACGCCACACACGCATTTTCTCACGCAGTCAAAAGCACCCTCAGTTAAAACTCTCATAATAAGATAGTGGCAAAACAGATTTGATAAAGGCTCCAGTGCGTATTTGTGTTTGCGCTCTGGAAACCGTGCCAATGCTGCTTCCTCAAGGACATTTATCATTCTCAAGTCTTGTCAATTGAAACGTTAAAAGTGTTTAAGCCATTCAAGTGCGAGACAGCGCTAAAGAGATTTCAATGCGGTACTCACATGCACACAAAAAGCTGCAGCTCGGACTGCATGCGATTACCAAATTGAGCTCTCTTTCGCATCTTCTTGAGCAAATGCACACAAAATTATGTCAGAATGGCTATTTTGATGAGTATTCACGTAAACACCAGCGGTTTCCGATCAGCTTTTCACCCCGAACCAGCAGGTTTACGACTTCTTCCACACGTAATGGTAGTGCTGCTGGTTCCCCTTGTCGTATCGGCTCAAATGCATAAGCAATCAGACTTATTATGGGCTCAACGGTCCTTTCAAGTTTGTCTTTGTCCATTTCAAAACAAGCGTGTGTTCTAAAAACCAACTCTTGTGACGTCACGGGCCTTGCTTCAAAAGCTATAACAAAACATTACATTACATAAAACGTTACATTAATCATCTTTGTTATATATTTCTTAATGTAAACTTGACTGACTGCTTCACTTTCACTTTAATCTACCCCATATCTAAACTCAGAGGCAGACTTACCCATTAGGCAAAGGTAGGCGACCACCTTGGGCCCCCAAAAGCCAAGGGCCCCTAAAATGCTTTTCATATCCACCTTATTTTGCCCGTAAGAGTAGGCGCAGCCATTTGTAAATTATATGGGTCTGGGTTCCAGTCTCATCCAGGTCAAGGTATTTTTAGCTGTACAAAACAGTTCCTTCTGCTGCTTCATATTGCAAATAGGTGTCTTACCATATTATTTTAATGTAGTATCTTAATTATGATCACACTGGTTTGTAGTGCAAACAGTTTTACCGTTTACTGCACATTGTTATTTTTCTAGTTATTTTCCTACAGCGGCTAATGAACCAGAAGTCTCGCCCATAGGCTTACTTCTTCGTTGAAGAATAAGGTAGATATGAGATGCACATTAAGCACGAAAATGTGAACGGTTGCCGTGGTGTTCATTACCATGACAACCATCTGTGTGTCCGCTTTGAACATGCTTCTTGTGTATCCTGCTTATAGCAAATGAAAATATGCATCTGAAGCTGTAATTAAATGTTAAGCAACAGTGCATATTGTTTATCGTTTATTTATGTTTATTGTTTTAAATGCTGCTTATTCGTTTATGAGACGACCAGAGGACGCATGCGCAGTTACTTTTCACACAGGCAATCAACTCTGACACACTACTAAATGCTGCACATGTTCTTCATTTTTGTAATGCGTTACTCCCAACACTGCTTATAAGTCCAGTTCATCATAAATTATAACACTGCTATAGAGTCCTTTAAATAGAAGAGATATACCGTATTGGCCCGAATATAAGACGACCCTGATTATAAGACGACCCCCCCTTTTTCCAGATGTACCTTTTGGAAAAAGGCTTTTTAAAAACCAAATCTTGTTTTTTCTCAGTAAAACACATTTTATCTTCAATTATTTTCATATTGCATATTTTTCCTATTTTAATTTTTGTTTTGAAAGTATGGTAAAAACTGGTAAAATGTACCAAAAATCACATTTAAAAAATATACACTTTTTGATATACCATTAAAAAAACAAAAACAGGTAGCCCATCTGAATTAGGACATTTAGGCTATCCATCTAATAGTAGCCTACCAAAATCTTATTAACAGTAGAAGTTAAATCTTACTGTAGTCTTCAAATCTGGGTACTGTCTTACGTTTTAAAATCACAAAGGGAGTTTGGTGCCATCAGGCTAACGTGACAGTCACGACTCATGCAGCTGTAAGCTTTTCTTTTTCTTTTGTTTTTACTCGCGATCTTTACAACACGCATTACATTACGTATTTCATGGCACACTCGTTTTATGCGTATTTGGCGCCACCTATTGTTGTGGGTGTATTATTGACATGTCAAAGTAGTAGTTGCAAGAGAAAAATAAATGTAGAAGTGTTTCTGACTCAAGATTACACAAAGAACATAAAGGTGATATTTTCACCTTAAAGTAATTAAGAAAAGCAATGCATGCATTATATGTATATGCATCATTAGTAATATCTATGACTGAAATACATTTTACATTTCATATTACTTACAGTGTAAAACACAACCTACGGAGTAACAACAGTAGGCTACTTTAAAATGATCATTATATCAATTATATAAAAGTTTGAAAACATGATTACAGAACATTACAGTGAAACGTGTTACAATCTTGTAATCCCTATTTGTCCATTTTAATCATATTTCTTGAGTGCTTCATGATGAAGTTAGTATTTTACGCTTACTTACATTAATAAGGAAGTGCCTTTGTGCTCCACAGCTAAAGACTTGCTTTGATCAAAATGTTCAACTACTAGACAAGTTCTCAAAGTGTCCTTGGATTCCCATTATTTACATGTATATTCCCACATCAGCCAATTATAAAAACAGTTTGATGATCAGTTTTTAAAATGAAAAAAACAAAAAACAAACAAACAATCTTACGGTCAAGTGTAAACTGCATATAAAACAATCTGCTTTTCACTTTCGTTTTGTCAGCAAGGTTGCCAAATCTGTCTGGAAAAAACACCTCATCATCATCATAGGTTTTACACAGTTTGGTTGTGACAGTGACTACAGATCGCTTTGATCAAATTGTTGATAACACTTTATAATAACGATCAGGTATACGTAATTTAAAAGTGTTTTGTTAATGATTAACTAATCATTTAAACATTAATATACATTTGTAGATGATTCTACAATCCCCTCCAACTCAGCACACATCCTCTTCGATTAACAAGTGATATGTTAAAGGTCCCATGACATGCTGCTTTTTGGATGCTTTTTTTCTCAAAGGCAAAGCAGGATACCCAGGGCTCGGTTTACACCTATCGCCATTTCTAGCCACTGTGGGACCATAGGCAGGCTAGGGGAACTCATATTAATGTTAAAAAACCTCATAAAGTGACATTTTCATGCCATGGGACCTTTAACATGACACAAGTGTTTTAATCATCCAAAAATGTTTTTGTAAATCATGAAACAATCGTATTATTAGTAAATGATTAATAATTATTTGATATTTTATAAATCACTCATTTTTACAAATTTGTTTCTCTAACAGTCAGAACAATACACTGCTCCAACATTTTATCATGAAGCTTTGAGATGTTGAAATTGATTGAAAATTATTTTGAACATCAACACAGCAAAACAGACTTAAGGACTCGCAATTGTGTGAATTGTGCAAAAATAACATCCAATCTCCTCTACAGATCTTACTGAGTTTGTGGCTAAAAAAAGAAGGCACATGTTTCTCTGCAATTGTAGTTGATGAATGGCTGTATAATAATGTGAATGAATAAATGCACATGCACAAATGCACAAACTCTTAGGATGTGCAAGAAAATATTTGTGTCGAAAGGTGACGAAAGTGTCATCGTCTCATAAATTGACCAGTTTAGTTGTTTTGACAGTTCACATTACAATCATTACAGACAGTCTCTGTTCCAGCAGTAGTCCAGACACAAAATGATCATTCATTTTATCTATTTTTATCTGTCATCAGAAAGTTTTGCATTTTTCATAATTGACACTTCTGAACAGTTAATGTGCAGCTCCATACACTCACTAAATGAGAAACATTCGCTTAAGGAGAGACACTATGAGGAGACAGAGAAATAATCAGAGACTCCAAGCTTTGATAAAATGTGTGAAAACATGTAAGTCCATCCTTCTTAGTATAGAAGCCAGATTGAGCAGCTGGCTGTCTGCTGCAGTCTTAACAACCTGGAGCTGAACAAGCTCAAAACTGTGGAGATGATCGTGGACTTCTGAAGAAACCCCCTGCACTCCCCCCAC